GAACAATCCCAACCTCCTTTAGTGAAATCAAACCACAAACATTGAATTTCTACGACAACAACGTGTCCCTGTCACTCGGGGAGGTGAAGGAGGCAAATTTACCAATAATCACATTTATTTTGAAAACAAACATTTTGTGGGGTTGTTTCCCCCCTCAAAAAAAATGTTTGCACAAGTCAGAAAAACAAGAAGTCAATCCAGGAACACTCCTGTGGTTACAAGCCAACACTAACAACTCACCACATCAGAAATCCGTGTCAACAAACAATATCCACATTCCATCAAGGAGAAAAACACAATCAGCGTGAAAGGCTTGGGTCTCAGGGATAAAAAAGAGGCTGCACAACACATCCAGGGATGCTTGGGGTGATCTATCTCACCAAACACCAACCCTGTCTCTCAACCACAGTGTTGTTTTGGAGTCAGGTCCGCACGAGTTTCCCACAAACCTGCTCCATTTTTATTTTTTATTTTTTTTTATTCCTGGCAAGGCATTTAACTGTGCAAAATTGCCCTGCCAGCGACAGATGCGAGTACAAAGAGAAGTGATTTGCTACAAAAGGATTAATACGTTTTGAAAGTTACTGTCTGGCAAACTGTCAAAGGGACTTCCATTGGTTTATTTTATTCTGGCTGTCGCCAAGCCTGGTGGCAGAGGACGATGTCCAACTCCTGGCTCGAGCACTCACCTGCCTCTGGCCACCACAGAGGTCATCTCAAAGTCCAGCCCTGCTCTCATCCAGCTCAGATTGTGTCCTTGGAAGAGGGCATTGACCGTCTGTCACCTGTTTGGCCACTAACCATCTTCAGCCGTGTGACCACGGAGGCTTTCACAGCCCCTGGAGCTGTCTGACCACCAGGTGATTGTCACCTGTTCAAGCAGGGACTCTGTGACACCTGCGTGGCCAGGTGTCTGGCCAACATCTGTTTGGCCCCAGTGGATTTGACAGTCACGGTCTGAGCACAGCCCCTGAACCTGTCTGACCACTGACCAGTTCATACCCATTTGACCAGGGACCGTCTGACACCTGTCTGACCTCGAGGATTTGACAGCTGTGGTCTGAGCACAGCCCCTGGCACCGTTTGACCCCTGACCACTTGTCAGCGATTTGGCCACTGACCACTTCATTTGACCACTGACCTCTTGTCCCCCGTTTTTTTGACCACTGACCATTTCACACCCATTTGACCACCAACCAGTCATCGCCCATCTGACCATTCCACACCTGTTTGACCACTGACCCCTTCTCCCCCATTTGACATTCATTTGACCGCTGACCACTTATCACTCGTGTGACCACTGACCATTCCACACCCTTTTAACCACTGACCCCTTGTCCCCTATTTGACATTCATTTGACCACTAACCATTTCACGACCGTTTGACCACTGACCACTCGTCCCCCATTTACCCACCGACCATTTCACACCCGTTCAACCGGGGCCGCCTGTCACCTGTCCGACCCCGAGGATGTGACACCCGTCAGATCTGTGACAGCGGCGGTGGCAGCGCTGCCCGCGGTTCCCCCGCTCTTCCC